GGTCTGACACACTAAAAAAAATTCCCAGCCCTTTCTGTGATTTTTTTTTTTTTTTTCAGGTACAGAATTTTCTGCTTGCAACTACGCAGGGCATAAGTAACAGCACTTGGCTGCCAAATGTATATATATGGCTGGGATGTAAATGGAGAAAGCTGAAATTATTTGGGAAAGTTTCCATTTATATCAGCAGCTGGTTTAGCCCTGTATGTCTGCACCCCTCCCACCCTGCCCCACAAGAATTAGGTAGTTAAACTTCTATGTTACGGGGAGAAATTCTCAGATATATTCGTGTATCTTTCAAGTCATTTCTGTTGCCAGCTGGGCCAGATCCAGCCTTTATTTTGGGTGGTGCTGTTCCATCTAGGTCTATGAGTTTGCACGGTGAAGAGGAAGATAAAATTTGCTGTGCTTTTGTCCACGTTGTTTTAAAATGCCTGCTGCTTGTAAGGACACAGTAAGAATGAGGGAGATGGTTTAGTTGCCATTTTGTGCTTTTTATTCATGCTACTAATCTTTCTATAAGGAGAGAAGGGGCATTAATAACACTGAAACGTTACATGTGCAACAGTCTTGGTGTTGTCTGGACTGCATTTCTATGGCATTTGTTAACATATACTTTTCCATCACCTACTTTTTATTTCCCTTTCTTATTCCCCTGACTAGTTGGGATAATTGAGGTTTTACAGCACGTAATAATCAGCGGGTAAACCAGAAAAAGAAACCAATAAAATATACGTTCTAAATTATACTGCTGCATATGGCCTTAAGATGCATGCAGTGTTTAATGAACTCGTTTGGAAAGAGCTCTGTAAATGTCAGGGGTTTAGAACGACATGAGGTGAGGTACTGCTGCTTTTTGTCTCAAATCTAAGGAACCTAAGGTTTCTTTTGGGTAGTAAAAATCAACGTGCTAGAGTGCGTGTGTCAGGTGTACGCACAAGAAGTGGTGTAAGCAAGTCATACACCCTGCATTACACACAATGTCAGGAGGGTTTAGTGTGTTTCTTTTTTATTCCCATTAAGAGCTGCAAGTGTTTAGGCATAAATAATAGTTGATTTTCCCCCAAATGGCACAATGCAGTGATTTTGCTCTGTTTCTGTATGCTGAGAAAAAGATGCTCAGCGAATTGCAGGGTCAGAGCCTGCTTCCAGCTTCCATACAAGATTCACAAGGTGCGATTTTCCCTCTTGAATTTTTTGTTTCATTAGGAACAAACCTTGCTCCAGCTGATGTCAAAGGGAGTTTTACCCAAATGAAGCAGGATGAGGGCCAGTCTGGCCACTGCTGCTGGCAGAGCCTTCAGCGTGTCGGTGGGCCAGGCCAGTCTGTTACACGATTTTCCGCCTGTCGAGATGTAGCATAAAGGTGTGGGACGGGACTTTTTCTATGTCTGGTTTTATTTTTAAACTTTGCTTGTGCTTAGAACGGCCTAATCTGTTTTTCTTTTTTTGAAGTGTGATGATTTTCTCTAGTTAAGAGGAATTGCACAACTGTCTCTCCACATGTTTGTGATTTTAAAGCAGACCAATGGCACTGTGCACCTTTTTGGTTTGTAGCAAGGTTATTTGCAGAATTACTTTCTGACCAGGATGGCACAAGCTGTGCATAAAAGCCCTAAAATCTGCCATGCACGGGGTTATCGTGAAGTAGCTGAGTCTTTTTCTTTCAAGGGGAAAAGAGATGCTTCTCTTTATTAGGAGAAATAATGACTGTCAATATACTGTTGTCCCAAAGAAACAAGAAAGGATCTTTTTTTTTTTCATATTAATTCCATACCAGTTCAGTTCTTAAGCATAAATTTAAAAGGAAGTATCTGCCTTAAATGCTTTGTAATCGGGACAGTATAATGTTGTAGGAATTCATAAAACATTTGTTCAAATTATCAATAATGCGTTTTGAATACCAATGCAGAGATTGGCCTTAGAGTGGAATTTCAATATATTCAGACTGAAAGGTGGAGACCATGGTTGGACATTCAGCCTGTCCATATTTATAGCATCTTAATGAGCTGTGATTGTGACTGAGAGCTCAATGTTAGGGTAGAAAAGAGTTTTCTGCTGGTCAGACAAGGTGACCTCTTTCTGCTTGCTGATTCTACATTTGTTAATGTTTTTTGAAATGACAGAATATTGGAGATGAAGATAACACAGCAGCACAGGAGAAGACGGAGGAGAGGGAAATACTGTTTTCATACCAGTGTTTGCAATGGGAAATTCATATTCTTGTACCAGAGGGCCTAACCCTCCCCTGGTGTACGCTATATTACAACTCCACTGGTCTGTGGTGGAACCACCTTCATTTACACCAGAGGAGAAGTGAGGCTGAGATGTTTTGCACTAGTCCTTCTACTCTACAGAATAAATGGACAAGCAGCTAACTGTGTAAAGCCATTGCCTCCTTTCTATATATACAGGTTTTAAAAGATAAAGAAAAATGGTTTCTGCTATATTTTTTTGTGTCTGACAGCCAAAAATAACAACAAACCTCTGTGTAGTGTCCGAGCTTTATCATCACCAGGGTAGATAAGGTATATCTATGCTTCATGACTGTGCTGATGAGGAAACAGTGAAATATGGAATATTTCATTATTTTGTTCACCTTGTGAATTGCACTTTCTTGTTTAATACAGTATGCACAAGAGGATATGTCAGTACGTAGCAAAGCTGCAGTAATAATATTTTTTTAACAGTAGGTGGGTCTAAAACATTCCCATTCTTTAAATGAGGCAGCGGACCTGATTGGAAAAGCAACACACTGAAGCTTTGGTCTGCTTCATTCCCTGGGCACAAACAGTGTGTTGAATGTACCAAATTTAATCCCATAACAAAGCTGTTCAGGGCTTATTTGCTGACCTGTGAGTTTGATGGGCTGCGGGGGTCTACGGCCGCCCATCAAACCCCAAAGCAGCACTTTCTCATAATGAGAAGCAAGGGGATGTGTTCAGACTTTGGGCATCAAAGACAGGGTTGCGGCACTGGTTTAAGGTCTTGTGTGGCTGTGAAAGGAGACCACAGCAGAAGGGAGACTGCATCGGGACCCCACGGCACACTGTAACCTCAGAATGCTGGTATGTAGGTACAGTTACCTCTACCTGAGCCCTCCTCCTTCCCCCTTTTTTGAACATAAGCTCTGTGCATGACTCAGGGCCATATATTGCTCAACGGCCGCAACCTAGCTTCTGCTGGTACCGTGGCATGACTGGCGCATGCATTAGGGAAATCAGTAGTTCAGATTTTTTTCATCTGAGATATATGTATCCCATGTGCGGCACAACCTGAGCTGAAAATGGAACGGAGCAAGTCCCAGAACACTTCTTTTACGTTTCGTACAAACATGGAAGTAATCTCTCAGGTATGGATTATTTCATTAAATTCTCAGCAGCAACTGAAGAAGGTTGTTTCACTTGGGCGAAAAAGCCAGGAAAAGAGATTCTCCACGTGCTTTCAGTTATTTTCAGGGTGATGCACGTACAGCTTTCTTCTGCTTAAAGCAACTCCTCTGCCAATGATTCTGAAGCACCCTTCTGTAGGGTAGTATTGGTTTCCCAGCGGAGCTATCAGCATGCTACAGTAGGTGCTTCATTATTTTACCATTATCTTTTGGATCCTTGTTAACAGGCTTTGGGGGTGGGCCTTCACATCACAGAAATGTTTGGCTGGAAGAGAACCTGGGAAGTCACCTACTCCAGCCCCTGGCACTAAAGCAGGATCAGGACTTGCTTATTCCAAAGCTTGCAAACTGCTGTGAGAAATGGTTTGCTCTGTTCACGTGGCAAATCTCAGGGGTAGCCAAGGTCAACAGTGTTCCTTCTGGGATTCAGAGGGTCTGTATTATACAAGGTGCTTGCTTTCAGGTATTTATTTTCCTTTGCTTGTTTTGTTGCAATGCCATAGACGTAGTTGAATTCCACATAAGTGAGCTGGTGTGTTGAACCATTTGGTTGTCAGATGTGGATATTTGCAATGTCATCAATAAATGCTGGTGCATAAGTATGTTTTAATAGCAAAATAAGTTGATTTTTCTTCTTTTTAGGCAGGTTCTTCTTGCTTTGTTTCTGCACTGCTCTGACCTGGCCTCCCTACGCTGATCCCCCTGTGCTGTTCCGCGTTCTACAATTCATCACTTCCATGCACAAAATATTGGCTCGGGCTGTGGGGTAGTACAAGCTGAGCTGACCTACAGCCCAGCAAATGCATTTCTGCAGTGGATATTTCATGGTTTCCCACTGAGGTGTCACAAACCATAAAGAAGGAAACTTTTCCCCCCCCCCCTTTCTTAATTTTCTGAGATTTTTTTTGCTTAGGAAATGCTGCCTCTCTTACTGTCAGCAATCTGTTCCCTTGGCAAGAAGTATGACTATCAGGTGTTTAAAATTAAAGTTGTTAAAATCAAATTTGCAAAGGCAGGAGGGTTTGCCCCAGTGTCCTGGACATAGTCCAATT